TTCATGACCGGGTAAATAACAGCCAAATCAAATTGTTCGCGTATATACCGACTGAGGAATTGCTAGATCGAAAACATTCCTGTTGTGCGTCTTAGAAATAGGATTATTGGAGGCTACGGTCTGGAATGTATCCCCTGATCATAAGCATCAATTAAATATCAGTCTATATAGGTGGTTTGGCTGCACAACGGTTAAGCACGACTGAACCCCCACTGTTTGTACTGTCACATTTTCACACTGAAGACAAACTCTGTCTGTATACATACATCTTTCGGTTACGATTGTTGGACGGAATTCGGAAAAAGGTTTCCTCGTTAGTACTCACTCATTTCGGTATTTTAATCACTCACGCCGAAATTATCACATCGAAAGCAATGCTATTCTGTGTTTACTCTTTAGTTGTACAACTACACCTCACTTCTTGGGTATCACTGATCCATGAATTGGAATAGATGGACCGTACCTGAGGGGAACAGTTCATAGAAATGGCTCTGCGCGGAACTGCGGGAGGGGGGTTGTAACCGATGAGTTTGACTTCGGAACGCAGGTCTGTTTGAACAATTTTGACGCGGAGCAGGCTCATAATGCGCTCTAGTATTAGTTGTACCTTGAGGTGATGGCCAACAGTGCCCAATAGCTGTCAGGCTTTCATAAGATTGCAATGGACCATCCTCTGTAATTGGGGTCGAGACACTGCTGCTGGGGAAAAACATTGTCGGCTTTGGCCGACTACAACGTGGGCAATGGTGGTGATAGTATTCGAATGACATGGTATAATAAACGTACTTTGCTTTGGGCCACTCGACCCTTAGTAATGATCAGTTTTATAATTCGTTGTTGGCCCAAATCCACTTGCATGTACTCGCGTAGTTCTGTATGTATCATCGCATCCGGGCACCAGGCACGTTCTTGCAAATCCGCATCATGCAGAATGTCACTGGAGGAAAAGAAAAGAAACCGCCGGGGAGACAAGTGGAGAGTGAAAGCGGACATAGAAAAAAGGCCGTGAAGCTACCGTTTTATGTAACAATGGAAAAAAATCGATTAGATGTGCAAATTGCTCTGTAGCTTTGATACAAGTAATGAAAACTTTTGGTGGGAAAATTGTAGAGTTATATTTCATATCATTTTCTCTCTCTCTCACGTACTCTGTAAACTTCATTCACGGTGTTTCTCTCAATCCGTTTCTTTTGAGGCACAGAATTTTTCAAGCATCACGTGACTAATATATTATTCAAACTGACCAACTTTATGGCGGGCATCCAACTGCATTACCGTTAATTGAACGCATATGGAGCACAAGCTATTTTCACACACCAAAAGTGTCCCAAATGTGCGTGTGTCCGTGTGTCTACGAATGACCGGAGTAAAAGTTCATATTACGTGTTTCTGGGCTACCGTGCCACGGAAAACCTTTGCCATTTGACTCGATACCGCAAAA